CATGTTTTTATTTGAATTCCTGGTCCTTCTAAGAGAATTACCTGGTATTTAACTAGTCTTATCAGATAATCATAGGCTCCCTTTAGAAGAAAAAAATTCCTGCCATATTATGGGAGGTAGATAGAGTAAAATCTTTGCCTAAAGTCATTTTAATGCCTCCAGCACCAGAAGAGCCTCTGCAACTATAGATCTAAGGCAAACAGGTCATTCCTTTGTGATTATGTCTAATGCACATACCCTACAGGATGGTGAGTAGGTCTCCATTCATGTGGATGAACTCTCAAGGCCATACCCTGTTTTTGATCAACATATAGATTGAAATGATGTCCTGTTGGGAGACTCAGTGCTGGGATATTTAGAAAACTTTTTAAAGCTTTTGGAATGTGGTCTGGGAGTCAGGTTCCCAAAATAAAATACAGGTGTCTGCCTTCTGAGTTTCCTTTATTATTTAGTAAAATTACATACTGTCTCACCATATTCTTCTATCCATAGGCTACAAAAGCCTATGATTTTAGAAATCCTCTTAGCTGTTTTAGAGTCTTGGGCTATGGAAAGGAGAGTATAGGTTTAATTCTTTCCTTTCCCAAAGTTTGAGATCCCTTAGATATGATGAGGCCCAAATATTTTACCTCAAGGCTACCAAGTTGTGCCTTGGACATGGAGACTTTCTAAGCTCTGACTGCCAGAAAATTCAGCAGTGCTCTGGTGGCCCAGATGTAGTGCTCCTCTGATGGTTGGATAATAGTATATCATCTACATATTATAAGATTGTGGCTTGAGAGAATTCAAAACAGCACTCTCCTCCTGCTCCTCCTCCTCCTCCTTCCTCTTCCTCCTCTTCCCGTTCCTCTTCCCTTCCCCTTCTTCCTCTTCTTCTTCTTCTTAGGGTTCTTCTTCTTCTTCTTCTTTCTTCTTCTTCTTTCTTCTTCTTTCTTCTTCTTCTTCTTCTTCTTCTTCTTCTTTCTTCTTCTTCTTCTTCTTCTTCTTCTTCTTCTTCTTCTTCTTCTTCTTCTTCTTTCTTCTTTTTCTTCTTCTTCTTTTCTTCCCAGTGCTCGAATTTGAGACTTTGTGTTTGTGAGGCAGGTGGTGGAGCCACTGAGCTAAATCCCCAGCCCAACGCTCTTAATCATTCAGAAAGCACAGTCCAAGTCAGTTGAGAAGCTTTGTCATAAAGACTTTCAAAGTCAAAAAGAAACTGGGAGTCAGAACGTAGAGGAATACAGAAAAAGCTATCTTTTAGATCCTAGATCCAATACTGAAAACCAGTATCTTGAAGATTTGGGGATTTGGGAAAGAGAAGTATATGGGTTGGCACCATAGGGTAGATGAGTACTATTGCCTCTTTTTTTTGTGTGTGTGTTTTTTGTGAAAGGGAAAAGACCTTTACTAGTCTGGCCAGTTGGCACTCTCAGAGGCAAGCAGCTCAGAGAGGCACCAGCTCAGGGGCTGAGGTCCTTTTTATAAGGGGATAGGCAGGGTGGGGGTCTATACTCAAGATGCTTATGGAACATCCCAAGGTTTTCAAAACTTTCTTTCCGGGCAGACAAGGAGTGAAACAATCTTTATCTATTTACCCAGAACTACTACATGCTCACCTGTTAATTTACTTTAATCACAGTTGAGACTAGGAACTTACTTAAGATTACAAAGTTATGTGGTCCCACATTCCCCACTGGTTTTAGTTAGAATCAAATCCATCATTCATCATTTTACTTAAATTTTTAGCTAATGGGTCATAGCAATTCATAAAGACATCTTTTTAGACAGGTAAGTTGGGGATTAGGGTCCCCAGAGCACATAAAGGTTGCATATTTTTAACATCTGTAGGCTCATAAACTCTTAATTAAAAAGCATAATAGCTCATAACAGTTTGACACAATATAAGAGTCCATATCTTGATTGCAGTTCTCATTCTTCAGCCGTGTGTGGACTCACCAGCTTCCGGTGTGATGAGTGCAGGGCTTTAATTGCATTGTCTCCTGGAGTCAGATCCGTGGAATTCTGTTTTACTCTAGAGTAGTGGTAGCTGAGCTTCAGCTATTTTGACAGCTGTGGGAGTAACCATAAGTGCCTCATATGGCCCTTTCCATATAGGTCATAAAGGGGTCCTTTTCCAATTTTTAACATAAACTCAGTCCCACAGTTTTATCAGATGGGCAAGAATTAGCTCAGGAAGGTCCTCTTTATTTCTAATTCACCCTTGAATATTTTTAAATACTTGCCCAATTCTAACAGCTGTGATTCCATACTGGATAAGCCCAGTTGAGATAATTTTATAAAGTCTCTCAAGATATAGGGTGGCCTTCCAAACAAGACCTCAAATGGGGAGAACCCAGTATGACTTGGGGTATCTATTATTTTAAAGAAGGCCAAAGGGAGCTGATCAACTCATAACCCAATGTTATCTGACATTATTTACTTTACAATTCATTTTTTAACCTTACAAGAACTCTGAGGTCAATAAACAGTATAACAGTTTAGCTAGATCTTGTACAACCTCTGTTACAAATGCTGGCCCATTGTCACTGCCTATGGAGAGAATATTGACTCATTTATTGCTAAAATCCTGTATCAATGTTAACTCTCCATTGGGTTTAATTTTAATTTTATTTTATTAGTACGTATTTGCAATTCATGCAGTTTGTAATCATTTTTGGGTGGGTACATGTACATACCACAGCTTGTTTCTGTCTCTCTCTCTCTCTCTTTTAAATTCCCTTCCTCTTCCATACCCTATGCTCCCCCCCCTCCTCCTCCAATTCCCCTATTCCAGTTTTCAATTTTGTTGATATTATTAATCTTAGATTATGTTATGGCCTATAATGTTTACATAAATTGAGGTTATTAGGTTTCTGTACATGACAAATCTTTATTCTATTTATTTCCTCTTTCCCTCCTCCTCATCCCTCACATCTATTTCCTTAGACTACTTCCCCACTGCAAGAGATCCATTTCATAGTACCCTTTTACTAATCCTTTTTTTAATTGTCTGGTTTTTTTTTGTATTTTGTCTCACTGAACTGAGAGATACCATATGGAGGCAGGCAGTGGAACCACTGAGCCAAATCCCCAGCCCTTAGAGAGACACCATATGGTATTTAAACTTGTGTGTCTGGTTTATTTCAGTCAACATTTTATTTCCCAGGTGTATCTGTTTTCCTACAAATGTCTCAAATCTGTCATTCTTTAAAGTCAAATACTATTCAGCTGATAGATACCACATTTCCTTTATCCAATCATCTGTTGATGGATATATAGGCTGCTTCCAAGATAAAACTATTATGAGTTGTGCTGCTATAAACATTGGTGTGCATATATCTCTGTATTATGAAGTCTTAAGTTCTTTGGGGAAGATACCTAGGAAAGGCACCACTGGGTCATATGGAATTTCTAATATCAGTTCTTTGAGAAATCTCCATACTGATTTTCATAATGGTTGTACTAATTTACATCCTTACTAACAGTGTAGGAGGGTTCCTTTTTCACCATAGCCTCACCAGCAATTGTGATTGATTCCTTAATAATTGCCATTGTTTCTGGGGTAAGATGGAACCTTAGCATTGTTTTAATTTGCATAATGGCCAGAGATATTAAGCATTTTTTTCAGATACTTGCTGACCATTTGTATTTTTCCCTCTATGAAGTATCTATTCATCTATCTTGCCCACTTCCTTGACTGGGTCTTTAATTTTAGGTGGTTTAATTTTTTTTTGTATGTTCTAGATATTAGTCCTCTGTATCAGGAGTAGCTGGCAAAGATTTTTTCCCATTCTGTAAGTTGTCTTTTAACTCTATTGATAGGCTCTTTTGTTGCACAGAAGGATTTTAGTCTGATATAATCTCATTTGTTAATTCTTGCTGTTAATTCTTATTCTATTAAAGTTTTGCTTAGAAAATTCCTTCTTACACTTATGTCTTCAAGTGTTTTACCTATTTTATCTTCTAGTAGGATGTTTCTATTTTATTGTTTAGATATTTGATTTTTATTTTATTTTAATTTCAGATAGGTAAGAAATAAGGGCCAGCCTTGTGCACACAGATAACCAATTTCCCAGCACCATTTGTTGAATAGGCCATCCTTCCTCCAACATATGTTTTTGGCCTCTTTGTCAAAGATCAAATAGCTAAATGTGCCAAGGAAAGCTTTTGTACCCTCAATTCTGCTCTACTGATCCACATATCTGGTTTTGTTCCAGTCCCATGCAATTTTGGTGGTGGTGGGGTGTTGAGACAGGGTCTCACTATGTAGACTATGAACTTGCTATGTAGGTCAGGCTGGTCTCAAACTCACAGCGATCCTCCTGCCTCAGCCTCCTGAGTGCTGGGATTACAGGCATGTGCTACCATGCCTGGCTTAACTCCCATGCCATTTTTATTACTATTGCTTTGTAGTATAGCTTAAAGTCAGGTATTGCTATGCCATCTGCTTTGCTTTTGTTGCCCAAAATTGTGTTTGCTATTCTGGGTCTCTTCTGGTTCCATGTGAATTTTAAAATTGTTTTTTCAAGATCTACAAAGTATGCCATTTGACATTACTAATTCTGCCTATCCAGGAGCAGGGGACATCTTTCTTTTTTTCTCTCTCTCTCATTGAGTTTTTTGGTAAATTTTAGGTATACAGTACAGTTACATTCATTATTGGCATCTTGTACCTTTGCATGACAGGTCTTGGTTCTCATTTTTTCCCCTTGTCCCTGTCCTCCCTTCACTCCCTCCTCCCCTGGGACATCTTTCTTTGTCTAGGTTTGGTTTTTCTTCTCCATCAACCACACAGTAACAGAGGACACCCATTGCTATTAAGATAGCAAAAACAATACTTCATTCAGAAACCTGTCAGAAAGAGGGCTGTGTAAAGCAGTGACTCTAATCTGTCTCTGAGTAAATGGAACACACCCAGGCTTCTGGAAGGAAAGGGGTGGCCTTAGGGGGCCCCGCCCCTGGAGGCCAGAGGTGGCACCCAAGGCCAAAGCTGAAGCAGCTTCTGCTGTGAGGCAGTAGTCATGGGGGAGGCTCTGGGTCACATCTTCGTTCTTGTAGGGCTGCTAGTGTGCCTGGCCTTGCTGGTGAAGTGCATTAGATTCTCCAAATGTATTCTTCTGAGCTTCTGGAGAACTGTACCCTCATCTTTGTTGCCATCCATGGGACAGTGGGCAGGTAAGGAGGGCTGTCCAACTTTGTTTTATTAATTTGGTTGTTCTTGCCTATTCTTAGGGCTCACAAGATATATTACGTCTTTTCTCTTTGACAGCAAATATGTAATTCTTTTGGGAGTTCAATTTTAAATTTAATTTAATTTAATTCATTTATGGGAATAAAGAGAATGAGTGCAATTAGGATTGTGTGAAAAACAAGATGAGACCCTCAGAAGAGTAACTAAGGAAAAAGGCTCCTCAACTCTTGTCCATATCTTTTCAAGTTTTCTACCTGTGTGTACTTTTCAGAGATTTCTAGTGATATAAATAATAAATAAGGCAGAATTTTTTGTATCCACATGTCCAGATTTCTAAACCCTAGGGTATTTCCATTTTTATAAAAGGTGTTTCAAAAATTTGAAACTCAAATAAGGTTAATTTACTTTATTTTTTAAAAAAATGTCCAAGCCCCTTTAGGGAGGATGTTGCAAAATCAAGGCAAGGAAGATCTCTATGGAGCCATGTTTTTGAGATGATTAAATACAGAATCTGGGTTTGGTCTGCTGTAATTAAATACTGCCTATTATTGGGATTTATTTAAGGGAATCATTGTGAAGAATTTCACCCCTATGCCTGGCATTAAGGTCAGAATTTAATGTCTCCTTGAGGGAAAAGCTAAGTTCTTTGCAGGGGCCTATATTTAAAAGTGGGATACCAAAATCAGTCAATCAATCCAATAATTTTTAAAAGGGAACAAGAGATGGAGGGAGGGGAGGGGATGAAAAAAGAATTAAGTTGCTTTATGTATGTGTACAAACTATTATGTACTGCAAACATATACTGATGAAAAAAATTGCCTAAAATAAAGAAAAAATGTCTAGGCTAAATAGAAAATAACATTTTTGCAGGGCCATCCAATAAATCACAGAGTATTAAGTGTGAATTTCATATTAACAAGAAGTAAATTTTTTAGTACATTACAATCTGGATATGTCATGCTAAATTTTAATTGTTTAAAATTTATTTTTTGAAATTTAAGTTAGCTGGGCATCCTGTAGCCTTGTTTGTTAAACCTGGAAATGTTAGAATATTAGCCTTGGAAATTGTTTAAATGCCCAAATGAAAAATTGTTTAGAATGACAATGTATTTATAATGCATGCTTTGGGGTGTTGTATGTGGTGTGTGTGTGTGTGTGTGTGTGTGTGTGCACGCTTGTCTGTTCTTTCTTGTTCCAGTAATGTGCTGTTTCCAGTGAACTTGCTAAATGGCTTGAGCCTGAATGTTGTGGACCTCAGTGCCCTGCTACATGTATTTGAAGGTCATTTGCTGAGTGGACTTGAAATCTGCACAGCCCCTGTGCACTATCCTAGGACTCAGCTCTCTGAGAACACTCATTCCAAAGATGAGGCCAGAAACAGGCCATTTGTGGAGTCAGAAGTGAAAAACATAATCTTAACCTGTTTTTATGAGTCAAAACTGAATAGAGCCATCATTTGCAAGACTACAATGTCTTTGGATACAGACAGACATTAGAGATCATATATCTTAATTGGGGGACAAGAAGAAAACCTAATAATCAGAGACTGAATTTTTAAACTCCCTGAGCTCCATATTTAATTTCTTAATTATTTCATTTGGTATATTTTATAGACTTGGGGCCCCCAAAATTGGACAGCCTGGATTCAAATATTTTTGTCATTATTTTTAGCAGTGAGGTCTTAGTGAAGTTTAATGAACTTTTTCTCCCCAAGCTTCTTTGTGTATCAACTAAAGATAATGCTGGTACCTACATCATAAACTTGTTTGGAGCTCTAACTGGAATGATGCATCTAATCCACTTGAAATAGCCCCATGGCATAAACATTAGTTAGCACATACCACTTAAACATTTATTAGGTATTAGTCATAATTATGAGTGTCATAATCTAAATTGTATTCTATTGGTTGACCTTGAAGATTCACTATGTTACCAGATGGTTTGTCTTAGTGGCTTGTTTCCAGGTTCTTGGTGTTCTGAACAAATTGGACAAGACACACAGAGAAGGTAGCAAAGTGTACGTTTATTGTAGGCATAAAAGAGATATTGCTACAGGGTGAGAGTGCGCTGTTGGGAAAACTCACAGTAGCCTCAAGGATAAGGTAAAGGGGTCTTTTGCATCCAAAATTCTTGGATTGGCTTCCCCATCATTCGAATAAGGCCTTAGGATAGTTGTCCTATCACAAGCTCACCCCTGCCCCGGCACTAGATTTAAACTGCCTTAGTAGAAGACTTAGTCAGCTTTCCACCAGGTGTAAATGAAAGATTGAAAATAGCTCTTTTGGATTGGTTCCATGTACAGTGCACAGCAGCTATAGAGTCATTTTGTGTCCTGTGTTCTATTCATGTCCTCTGAGTTTTTCTGACCTTTCACATTCTTCCCAGTTACTTGTCCAGTTTGTCCCAGCCCTAAGCTCCTACCTCACCCATAGTGGAGGAAAAGATAAGACTCAAGAGAAATGCAGCAATGTAGTCTCTTTACCAATGAGACTATGTAGTGTGCATGCATCCATTCAAAAAGGTCCTTTAGAAACAGATAAAATCAAGAATAATTATTTGAATGGAGGAGACTTCTGCTGGTGCACTGCTTGAGGCTGTATATCTCAGCCTTTGCCTATTAAGTAAGGTAACAAGTTTTTTGTTGTTGTTCATATTTAATTTCTAGGGCAAAAGTCAGCTGCAGGTGTGTGTGTACTGAATTGCAGTGAATTTTGAAGTGGTAATGTGTGTAAGAATGAGATTTATCCCAGAACTTCATCACTAAATGTGCATACAGTGTTGGAGAGAAGAGCTCTTCAAGAGCTATTGGAGTGTTGTATACCAAAATAGAGTTCCATTGAGTACAGATTTTCCAGGACCCTGCAATCCCTTTGTGAGTTTTGGTGTCCTTTTTGCTGGGTCCTCTGTCTACCATAGGGTATCCCATGGGGTGGGGTTGGAAGGAAGGCAGAATTTAACCTTTAAAAAGAACCTTAAAATATTCTTAGGATGAACACTGGGCCTGTAGGGAGAGTGATAACAGGACATAATGCTTGTCCTTGATGAATTAAGGCTTATGTTGTCTAAATCCTGAGTAGTGGGGATAAAGTGTTACTTGGTTGACATTCTTTGTTACATTTTGGAGTGTTTTCTATAGCCTCACCAGTCCCTCCAAACAAAAGTAGAAACAAACAAACAAACAAATAATTACTTGTTCATTTTGGATATTTGATGATAGAAATGGAAACTTTGGAAATGAGTGGAGTAATCCTGCTTTGCAATATTGAGTGTCCTAAACTTGCAAGAAAATGTATAGCGAGTGAGAAAGAGAATTTAAATTCAGTTATTTAAAACTATTCTAGGGCCAGGGATGTAGCTCAGTGGTTCCACCACCTGCCTCACAAGCGCAAGGACCCAAGTTTGATCCTTGGTACCAAAAACAAAACAAAACAAAACAAAAAACTATTCTTACCTTTGCAGTTATCACTGGAGCAGGTGATGGGATTGGAAAAGCATATTCATTTGAGGTAAGTTATCATCCTTTTTTGCTTTTTGAGCTGGCGTCTATGCTACCTGGGATGGGCTTGGACTTCTCATCTCAGATGATCTTCTTGCCTCAGCCTCCTGCATAGCTGGACTACAGGTATGTGCCATCACACCAGCTCCGAAGTTGTCCTCTTGGCAAGTTTCCCCCTTGTATCCTACACGTAGTCATGCAACATTCACTCCAAACACTAAGTCTCTGAACATAAAAATGATAGGCTATATTCAAGAAAGAAGATGTCTTCTATTTTAAAAAGGCTAAGAAATCATAATCATCTCTTGAACCTCTTTAAAAAATACAGTGATATTCAAAGGTAGCAATATCTCCACCTTGGATTTATTTTAGGAATTCATGAGGAAATTGTTATTTTCTAGTGCAGTTGGATCATAGTGCTTTCTTCCATAATGTCTGGATTCCTTCCTTCTTTCCTGAAGGACAGTATCCCCGAATATAGGATTGACAATTGACACTCTTATCTTTGAGCCCTCACTGAAATCTGATGCCAATTGCTCTTCACTCACAGATAAAGTGTTGTTCCTGCTTTTATGATTTTTTTTCTTTGTCTTTGGGTTTTTTTTTTTATTTTTTATTTTTTTTAGGTAGGGTCTCACTACACAGTTCAAAGTTTAGACTGGCCTCCATTTGTAGCCCAGGCTAGCTTCAAATTAATAGCAATGCTCCTGTCTCAGCCTTCTGAGTGATAGGATTACATTTGTGCCATCATGACTGGGTCTTCTTTGTCTTTAGTTGTCAGAAGTTTGGTTCTGATGCTCTTGGCATAGATTTCTTTGGCTTTATTCTGATCACTGAGCCTATTGAATCTGCAAGTTTGTTACCATGGAATAGGCAGGCATAGTCTAAGCTCTTCTGTATGATGAGCAATGAATTACAAGTGTACACTAGGTAGCAATGAAAGAAACCAGCACCTGCCAAGGATCACTCCACACAATGACAGAGCTCCTATGAGAGGTCTTTATTAAAGAGCCATGGTGGCATGGTGGCCCTCTCCACAAAAGGGAACAAAGGAGAAGGGGGAAGGAGTGGGAAAGGGGCTTGGTTATATAGTGGGTGACTAGTGCAAGGTGGGCCATTCTTGGACATTCATTCAATATACAGACAAGACTTGCTTGGGTGCCAGTTTTTATTTATGACAGGTGATGTGTGATGTAGGAAATGGAAACTTTAAGGTGAAGAAGGAATTTACTTATCAGAATGGCGGCAGCCATTCCAAGGCACTTATCTTACATTTCTCCCTTTTTTGTTTGTTATGAGAGGTGAATTATTTCTCTTCTGTAGCTACTTCCTGCTGAAAAGGGGCAGGTGTGGGGTGATGAGAGGCTGAAGGAGGGATCTCTAGTTTATCACATCTTGCCCTTGTGGGCATGACATAGCTGTTAGAGGGCTGCTTGTCTAGGAGCTTCAAGGAGGGCAATGATGGCAAGATCATGGAGTGGTGGGGGCTGATCTAGGCATGTATAGTAGCTTGAGGGGCAGCACAACCTTAGGGAGGGAGACCTGAAATGGTGAAGAAAGAATTGAGTAAGATGTATTTTGAAAGTTTTACATATAACAGATGGAAAGGGCTTTTTTGGGCAGTAATTAAAAATAATAGCATTTGCAAGGAGTTAAATATATTATTATATAATATATTAATTTTTATTAATTAGGTAGCATGTGTAACTGGGAAGGTGACTGGATGGCAGAACAGATGGACCAAAAATCTAGTGTGGAAATTAGGTGGGAACCAGGCATTACTTATATTTCCCAGGTGCCAATTGGGGACCACAAACTCTTTTTTGAGGGAACTGTAGTATCCTGGGAGTAGAGCTAAATTGCCTTGCCTCTGACGTGATGAATCTAAAGAGGAGCTCATATACTCAGCACAGAAAGGACAATCTTCGGGTGAGTATGACAAGTGGCAGATCAGGTCTTTTTGAGTAGGTGACAGGTATTATTATGAGATGCATAAAAAGAATTGTGTGTCCAACATTTGGGGCTAGGAGAGTTTTGGGCCATTGGGAGATTTTAATCAAATGGCTCAACTCATGGCTGTGGGGGTGGGAATGTAGGCCAGCAGATAAGGAGAAGGGTATAGAAGGCAATTTTTTGAACTAAAATCTTGGAGGGTTTTCTGGTAGAAATGTTTTGTTAACCAATCTAAGATCCCATCTAATGATCTTTCTTGAGGATAGAACCAATGGAGGTCTTGTAGTTGAGTTATGAAGTGAAGAAATTGCAGCTGGATCTGGATCCACATCATGGGGCTTTATCCAGGAGGCGGGCTGGCAAAGTGGTCACTTCCTGTAAGATAAGCTGATAGACTATCTGATTAGACATTTTTTGGATTTGATTTAGGAGGAATTGGAGTAAGCAGGGGGTGACCATGGCCAGAATGAGGATGTAAAAGAGAGTAAAAAACAGAGATTATTTACAGTGTCTAGTGACATCTGAGATATAAGAATAGCCTATTGTGTCCTGTAGCCCTGGAGTTTTATCTCTGCCTTAAATGAAATGTAGAAAAATGTGTAACCTTGAGATAGAGACCCATTTACTTAGTAAGGGAAACCAAAAAAACTTGTACTATTTTAGAAACAAATTAACTCCCAGTTGGCTGGTAGATACAGAAGGAAGCCAAAACCCATTGAAAGGCAAATTAAATTTTTTTTTTTACAAATAAGCAAACTTAAATATCAAAGTTAGAACTCACATGTCTATTTTACAATAATTAAAACAGCAAAACAGACAGGGGCCTGCTATGGCCAGAAGAAACATGCAAGTCAGCAGGCCCAATAAGGGAAGTAGCTATGGCATAATCTGTTGGAGCCAGGAGTGGTCTTGGATCATTCCTAATGTAACCCATTGTTTTTTAAGATTTTTGATGTATTGTTGTAACAAAATAACACTCTTTACCTAGAGCCTGGCATATTTCCCCTTGGGCTGCTTGTTACAATGTCGAGGGCACATCCATTTTGGAGCAGGACAGTTGCTAGGGAATTATTCTGGTCCTGGACTGTGTCTAGGGATTGGCTTATTTTGTCCATGCCTTTTAAAATTTTTAATGATAATGCCTGATAGAAATGTGTAGAGGTAGAGATACATGTTATACCCATCGCCATGCCACTGAGGACCCCCGCTTTTATCAAGAAGGGGACCAGGGAGTTTTGCCTCATTGGCCCGGCTTGGACTCAGAGCCACCTCTATGGCCTGGCCCAAACTACAGGGCTCCTCTGGAGCCGCGCCGTTTCCAGCGGATGCCTCTGATTGGCTCAGACACAGAGCCAGGAGGGTAGCCACGTGGGCCCTGCTGAGCGCCCCCCCCATGCAATTAGATCCCCTGATTGAGCCAGTCCTTGGACACACTCTGCACAGGCATGGAGGGCTATAAAGTGTGGTGATTGATCCTATTATGTTCCTGATTGTATTGATAGGGATAAAGGATAGGGATTGATTTGATAAGTTGTTTTCTCAATTATGAAAATGAGAATGTCTATAAGTCATTAGAGAATCAAAGACTGGGACACAACCATATCAGGAAGATTTAATGACCCAGATATTGAATTAAGGGCAACCCAACAGCAAAAATAAAGATGAGAAAACACTTAAGCAAGCCATAAAAACAGACTTCCAGTACACCAATGGCAAACAGTAGGGCAAAGGAGGAAGAAAAACCAGATAGTGAACCTCCAGGACACTCAGAACTCACAGCATAGGAAGTAAAAAAAACTGATCATTCAAGCTCTAGAAAAATTCAAAACAGAAATTATTTCCCAGGTAACCATAGACATGGTGAGCAAAATGAAAGACATGATTTGAGACTCCAGAACAGAAAATGATAAAAAAATAGATGAGCTTGGGAACATAATAGAAGCCATGAAGGCCCAGCATAAGAAAGAAATGGAAAAAATGAACACCCAACATTGGAAAGAAATGGAATCCATTAAACAGATTCAAATAGATATCCAGGAGATTAAAAACTCTATTGAAAGCATATGCAACAGAATAAAAGATTCCAAGAATAGAATCTCAGATATAGAAGATAGGATAGCAGACAGTGACCATGAACAGAGAGGTCTCTTAAAAACAGTAAGGGAGCATGAGAAATTGATCCAACAACTCCTAGATGATTCAAAGAAGAATAACATAAGACTGATAGGAATCCATGAAGTACCAGAAGAAAATGCAAATGACTTTAAAAAGTTGTTCAAAAAATTAATGACAGAAAACTTCCCAAACACAGGGGAAGAATTAGACATACAGATAAGCGAGGCATATAGGATACTAACTAGCCACGATCAAAAAAATTCTACACCTACACATATAATAATAAAGATCCCAGAAACCCACCAGAACAAAATACTCCAAGCAGTAAGAGAAAAGAAACAAATCACATGCAAAGGAAAGCCCATCAGCATCAGAGCAGACTTGTCAATACAAACCCTCAGGTCAAGGAGAGCCTGGAGTGAGGTATTTCAAATCCTAAAAGAAAACAACCTACAACCAAGACTGATGTATCCTGCAAAACTCTCTTTCAAAATGGATGGAGAAATAACATACTTCCCAAACAAAAAACACTTGAGAAACTTCATGAATACTAAACCAGCACTACAAAGAATTTTAAACAATATCCTAGAAAAAGACAATGAAGGTCACAATACCAGGAGGCCCAACAGAGCAAATCAAATAGCCAGGGCAAGAAACTAAAAGGAGAGGACAAAAAACAAAAAGAGTCAACAAAAGGACAATAACATGACAATAATAAGCAAGCACATATATCAGTTATAACTATCAATGTGAATGGCCTCAATTCACCAATCAAGAGAAATAAATTGGCAGAATGGATTAAGAAGCAAAATCCAACAATATGTTGTATACAAGAAACACACCTAGTGCAAAAAAGAAGCCCATAAACTGAAAGTAAAAGGATGGAAAACAATTCTGCATGTGAGAGGAGCCCAGAAAAAAGCAGGGGTAGCAATCTTATTC